CATCTTGGATTTGGTAGTTTAAGATTATTATTGCTTTTTTCTGCAAAGGAATGTTCTAATCATATATCATTAAGAGTGAAAAAAGAAGAGAAAATGGAAAAGATTAAACAAATAAAGATCAAACAGTGGTGGGCACCAAGTCCCCTCTTGGCAATACTTTTATGTTCTTGCTTCATAATTACTATTTATGTAAGAAAATCACCATTGTCTTGCTTTAGGTCAGGTTTTGTTGGGGCTCTGGTTATGGTCTCCTGTTTGATGCTGGCGGTCAACATGGCAACCAGCCATGGGTAATCATTTTGGATTACTTCCAAAAATAAGTCAAAGGCGTCAGGACCTCGTTTAGGTAGCAGCTCCAACAGTTTACACACTTTGTCTCCTTCTGTCTTTTCTGCCTGTATGTAAAAATTAAATCAAAGATATAAAGAAATGTTTCAGCAGATTAAAAAGAGGTGACATTACATACAAAGAAGCAGAAATCCACCAGGTTTCCATCCTCATCCTAGTAGACCTAACACAATTGCCTGTTAATAAAGACACCTGTTCTAAAGGACATATTCTTTTTTTCCATATAAGTATAATTCATTACACTAATGGACTTCAGGGCACACATACCCTATTAAGGCTTTCAAACCCTCACACAATAATGCAGCAGTTATAAGCTTTTATCTGTACCTGGGCAAAAATTTGGAAATAAAATACCAGAGTGAATCCTTTTCCCTACATCCTTATACAATACATATAAACATATCCTTTACTGGAACTGCATCTCTGAACACTTCATCTCTGCAATATAGGTTTATTTGCCTGTTAGTAAGAATTAAATCATGGTTCAAAATTGACCAGGATTTACCTCTCCTGATTGCTCATTTGTCTGTTAAGTAAGAATTAAATCATCGTTGGAAATTTACCAGGATTTACCTCTCCTGATCACTCATTTGTCTGTTAAGTAAGAATTAACAACTTTCTTGGTTTTTCAGAAGTTATTTTTTTTTATATGATTTATCAGCAATAATTTGATTCTAGTCATTTGTGATTTGCAGATGTCTGTTTTACTTTAATATGAGTTAAAACTACTCAAATATTGATTTCATGTCTAAATTAAGTAAAAAGGATAGGATGGAGAGGGGAGGGGAGGGACAATGTATGCTTGAGATACTACACAGATTGAATGTGCACATTTCCAAAGGATTTTAAAACAACACTTGTCAGGTATGCATCAACAGGTAGATTGAAGGTTTAACAGTGGAAACTGCAAGAGTAGTTTCCCTTTAATCTGTCTTGCAATAATCATATTTGTAGTAGATCTGCTTGCTGTTGATTTGATAGTAGTTTGTCAAAGACGTTGTAGATTCAGTGAAGCAGTGAGTTTGCATCCCAATTTACTGACTCCAGTAGCCGAGTCACTTTAGAAATATTTCTTACTGCTTCACCGAATCTACAATGTTACAGAAATTTACAGGTGACCCGAAATTATCGTTTAATCAGCAAAGAGGCCAAACCATTACCACTGATTCAGGCAAACCATTACCACTGAGTCAGGGGGTGCATGGATGACAGGACAATACAAAGAGCTGTTGTTTGTAATGCTGTAAAATAGATATGGATGGGCTTATTGGTAGGCATGGGCTTATTATTGGATATGTGGAATAATGTACTCACCTTTATGAGATCAATCATATTCCTCTCAAATATCTGTGCCTGGTACATAGCACCCAGAAGAGTGTCTGTCAGGATTATGTCGTTTGCCAGCTGACGAAAGTGTTGCTTCAAGACTGAACGATGTACAGAATTCATGTTGGACCGTGGTCAAGGAATCCTTATCCGTCCTCGTGCAGTTGTTTCGCGGTGGACAGTATATGCCGAAAGCATTTGATCATACAAGTGTTTGGTCACTGGTTATGACAACCTTTGTGTGATGTTGGGATGAAAAGGTCGGATCTAGGATCCCGTGGCATTTTGTGATTATTCCTCAAATTGTTAAAAGTAATTTACACAAAATCTGCTAAATCTGTGATATTGGACATCAGTTATTTACGTTCATCTGTTTGATAGAAATATTGTTATGTCAGTATTAACTTTTTCTTTTGTAGTTCTGACTTCTGTATAACACTGCATATTTCACTTTTTGCATCAAATGATTCTATACAGTTTGTAACCGTTCAGTAAATGATGCAAGTTAAAATCCTAACCACTCTACTCCAGAAATTTACCTCGCAGGTAAAGCACTGATTTCCCTGAGGTTTACGTTATTTCAACATTGGTAAAATAGTCGATTGTTAGCACCTTATACCAATAAGCTGGACTGAATTGTTCATAAAAAATCCTCCGTCATTTTTTGAGAATTTATGGTTTATAATCTGATATCACTTACATTTCAAAGTCTGTAGCCCACTAAATGACAAATTGGAAATTTTCACCAGTAATCCGTTGAATGTAGAACTCTTATCCTTAGACAATAAATACACTAACAGATTTATAGATGTGGATTAAAACACATGGTTGACCTGGATTAAAACACCTGAGTAACAGGGATTATTGGGGTGGCAATGATATAGCTTGCAAATAACTCTATATATTTATAATTGAAACTATAGCAAAATAAAATGATATCTGTTTTGGCAGAATTGTAAAAATTTGGTGATGCGATCGATGCAGAGATTATTAGGCCCCCTCTATATGGTGACAACTACCCTATAGTGATAGCTTTGTCCTGTTGTATGAAACACTTTCATGTCTGCTTCATAAACAAGTCCTAGCAGAGTACTGAAACTTTATTGTGTCGCCTGCAGAGCTGGTGGACACTTAGGGATCACTTTGTCCGTCGTATATGGCTTTTTGTTGGAAGGGTACAGAGTAAGTTCGATTTCCGGCTGTCTGTGACCGTTCTTGGCAGAGTAATTCCCCTTTGAACTTAGAAAATTCTCTGGGAATATTGTTTTCTGGACTTTCTTTTGTTATCGTTTGAGTTATTGAAATGAAATTTGGTATAAGGCTTCTTGTTGGAAGGGTCCAGATTAGTTTTGACATCCAGTTCGATATGAATTGTGTCAATACTGTATTCTTGTTTGTACTCCGAAAGTCAACTTTTAAAAGCCCTATGTTGTACCCTTACAAAATTTGGATCTAACCTGTTCTTGTAGTGTTAACCTCCTCTGGGATGGGTAACTATGACAGCGGTCACATACTACAGAAGTGTCTTCTATTGTAAAGTTTGATTATCATTGGATGGTGACAGAATTGGCTGAAGGGATTCTAAATTTATGGTGGGCATCAGAATCTATCCTCAACATTGTGGTTGTAGAGTGCAAAATTTATACTATATTACAATAACAAAGAACAAAAGCTAATTATACGTTTAGATTTTGTTTCATTTTGAAATTTCTGCAAATAAATCCTATTCCTGCAAGGACGCATTAAGGAACCCCTGGACCAGATCTTTGTCTCTAGATTGATGCCCTCTGACAACTATGCAGAACCAATCTAATATTTAAACAATTTTCTTCATAATTGTAATTTCATGTAAATTTAGGACAGATTTGTTGTTTGTCTTCTGAAATAGGTAGCATTGTAGTCATTGAATGATGAATAATTTTGTCAAGTATCATCAGTTTTATTTTAGGATTTTACTGCTATAGGCGACAGTGTTTAAGTAGTGAATCTACATTATATGGCATACTTGAATGTAAGGTTATGGTAGTGGTGAGTGTTTGACAGCAAGTTATGAAAGGGGAGACAACTTGTAAAGTCTTGTGAATGTACTACCCAACAGCAGTCTTTTACTGCTGACATAACAGATGTCTTGATGTATGATGATGTAATTTATTTCTTTTTGTGTTTTTGTTGAGTAATGCAGCTTGTTACATAGTGCCTGGTTTTGATTTGAGGAAATTAGTTAGTAATAACTTTGGACTTGAAGCTTATTGAACCAATTAAAGTCTAAACATTGCCTTGTTATGATAATATTAATTCTCCCTTGAAGTGTTGAACTAATTATTTCAAAAAAGATAATTTGTATTGGTGTTATTCATTTGCTTTAATTAAGCATTGGTATCTGTATTCACCTGGATGTGGATACATCAACTGTCTGTTCATGTGGACAAGGTTTTTAGTGCACATCTCAGTCACTGTTTTTATAGATTTCAACATCACAAGGTGTTGTAACATGTACTAAAATGAGGTCACTGCCACCATTACTTGACCATGACTAAATACCTCAAAACAATAAAAGTTTCGAGAGGATCTCGGTTACCTAGACTTAAAGCGGTCACTTTAAACGTATACTTTGTCCATTTATCTAGATCATATAGGAAATAACAATATAACACTTACCTAACACATAAACTCTCATCATTATGACAACTTATAAAATTGTTTTTCCATTCTAAGTTAGTGATTGTGTTTTATTGTATTTAGCACAGATCCCAATTGGGGTCCCAAAAGCGCTTTCATAAATAAACAATGTCATTTCAGACGTTCATCAACAATTGTGTGATAAATCTCAAGCAGCAATTTTGTATAGTAAAAAAACTATGTGAACAAATGTTAAAGGAATGAATTATCGTGATAGTTATTAACTTGAAAATATGCATCACTTTAACCTCTGACCTTTGTCTACGTCCATCATAATTTGAGTTCCATCCATTTTGTATCTAACAGGTGGAGACATTTATCAAACATTGGCAATGCAAAGTAAAAACAAGACTGAAATCAAAATATATTTTGATTTTATTTATCTCAATACACTATGTAGAAATATTGCTTCTATTCGTTGAAAAGGTGTAATGTTTGATAATTAAAACTCAAATATAAAGGAAACAATCTATAAAGGCACCAGTTTGTCTTCCATTAATTTAAGCAATATGTAGTATTATAATGGAAGCTTAAACATTATTAATAATATCTAAATTTATAAAAGCCTATGATGGAATTTCAAATTGGAAGCCATGATTGTATACAGCCTTTACTTTCCAGCCATCTTTTATCAGTGGATTTTTTCATTATATATGGAAACCATGACTGCAACCTTTACTCTCCAGACCCTTTTTACAACATGCCCACTTATAGTTCACGTTAAGTATTTTGCCATTATCACCATAAATCTCTTTGATTTCTCTCCCTTTGCTGTGAAACATGCATGCTTTACTGTTGTTATCAGATGGTTTGAAAAGCCGGTTACAACGAAGACATTGAGCCACACCTGTTCTAGAGTTACCTCCCTTGTTTGAGTAAACATTGGCCTTTAATCTTGTCTTCCAGAAAGCTACTTCTTCTTTGCCGACAGGATAAGACAAGATTTGATCTCCTTCAACATATCGCCTTTCCTTGGTGCTTGGTGTACATTTTGAAGTCTGTTGCTTGGAGGTTTGACGTGAAGATTTTTCTATTTCCGACACATCATCACTTTCCATATTTTCTAAATGGAAGCCAATTCCTGCATGAGAAGCATTGTATGAAGTTACAATATCCTGCATTTTGGTCAGCTGTGCCGTGGTGTTTTGGAGTTCACCTTTTAGCCACAATATCTCATTGTCTCTTTCATCAATCTTAGATTGAAGTGAGTCTTTCTCCCAATGGAGGTTAGCAATTGCATTTTTCAAATATTTGAAATCCAGTTCAGAGTACTTGGCCATTTTGTCCTTTGGATCCTTTGGTAGTATATCATCAGTGACACCTGCCAACTGTTTTAAATGTTTTATCTTGGACTTAAGGTCTTGCATCACAGCGTCTGATGACTGTGTGTCCTCTAATACTTCATCCTCAAGAATCTGCTCTGGTTTAGAGTTCTTGGGAGGTTCAATATATAGTAGTGATTGCAGTTCTTGCATCATGGCACCATGGCTGAGAATGATTTTATGCTGTCGGTCAATTTCCTGCATTGCTGCATTCAGTCGTTGTTTCCAAAGATTACGTTCGGCCTGGAGTGTCTTGCCCACATTTTCCACAAGTTCCTCATAGTCTTCTATATCTCTGTTCACATCTAAAAGGTTTGCAACAGTGTGAGTGATGTCATCGTCAACATTGACGATGTCCATCATGCTACTTGTACGATTAGTCATACGAGATAGTGGTAATGTGTTTGTAATTGGTGTGTTGGTCAGTCGTGCACTGGACATAGAATTGGTACGAGGTGTGGTGAAGTGATTCACCACAGTAGCTGACGCCATTGTTTCTGGTGCAGTCAGTTCCTAAGTCATATCCTTGTCAGTCTGAAACTAAAACAAACATATAGATATTACAGTCATACAATTCTTCCATTGTAAATCATCAGGATAGACCTTTCAATTTCAGTTTTCTAAATTTCACAACAGGACAGGTAACGGTGTCACCACCTCAATTGATTTTGTACGATCAACGTGATATTGGACTGTTAGGATGGACCCGCCCAAATCGTAAAAAATGCTAGAATCATATAATATTTCAGGACTTTTGTGCAGTATTTGAAAAATTCAAAAACCCTTTTTTTTAAATTTTATTTGGTGAATATAATATACAGATGTGATAACTATACAATACATACAGATGTGACAACTATACAATACATACAGATGTGACAACTATACAATACAAACATGACATAGAACATCATGTTAGTACATAGATATTGATGACTATGACCAGATATTATTTGACAAAAAGTAGCCACACTAAAAATTGTGTCATTTATATGGACTATAAATACTATAGTATGGTAGGACAATGTACACATTTGTACAGTTATTTCTGTTATTTCCACTTCTTATAATTTGATTGTGATGTAAATATTGAAATAGAAATTTGGTAATGTCCTAAGAAGTAGGAGAATATCTGACATGATATTTTTGAATGAATTAAATAAACCTGCTGTTAAGGACACCTATAGAGAATTACTACTAAATGGACCTTTTTATGTTTGTCTGATTCAGGAGATGTTTAAGATGTCTGATTCCTATTTATAGGATACATACTAAATCATTTGCTAAATTTTGGAGACACAATATTTAAGTTTTTAACTACTTTTTTAAGACACATGTTTCAGGTGTCACATTCCTATTTATAAGACACATATTAAATATCTGCTTCATTAACATGACAAACTTTAGAAGTCAGATATTTTAATAAGACAAATGTTTTAGGTGCCAGCTGCATTTATCAGACATATGTTTTAGATTTCAGCTACTTTACAAGATACATGTTTTAGGTGTCTGATTCCTATTAAAAGACACATGGTCGCCCGGGAGACAAAGTCTGGTAACTTCAATTTTTGTCAAAACAAGGTTTTCATTGTTTATAGCTCTCCAGCCCTTCTTCACCACCTCTCAAAACCTGCACATGAAGACCAATTAAAAGTTGTTTTTTTCCCATGTGATCAAAAACACGAATTTCTATTGGTTGAAATAGGCTGAAGTCAAAACATTGTAACTTATGAAAACCACAACAGTGACAGCAGACTTTTGAAAGTGATGAAGAAATTGAGCGAGAGGCTGTCGAAAGAGATGAAGAAAATGAAGATGATGCTACTGACGTATTACCAGAAAGACATATATCCAAGAAATAAGAACCATAGTTGCAACGACACAAAAATCAACTATTATGGATGTAAAGACTACAAAGGAATGAAGAAAAACAATGAAGGGGAGTATGAATGTTCCATAAGCAAGGCATCGAAGGTGTTTTTCTGAAACACTAAGGAATGAAATTTTCCATTCTTTGTGAGAAACCGATTAGATCCAGAAAAAAAGTGTTTGCTTCTACTCTGATTGGTTCGCAAGAACCAGATTAAAAAAAAAAAAAAAAAAAAACAGAAAATGAGATATCAAGACGTAAACACACTTTTATGTATTATTTAAAAAAAAAGATGAAACTCGTCTCACAGTATGCAAGCACATGTTCCTATCTACACTTGGTATTGGTGAGTGGATGAAGTTCACATGGACAAAAGAATCAAAAGGTGGAACACAAAATCCTCTGTTTTGACCGCAACCCCAAGTCATGCAAAAAGCGCAGATCTGCGTGAAAGAGAATGTGTTCATCAGATCCTTACCTAGCCTTCCTTCCCACTACTGTAAGTCCTGAACTAACATGTTGTACCTTCAACCAGATTTACAATCATTCAGCGAGCTGCATCATCAGATCCTTACCTAGCCTTCCTTCCCACTACTGTAGGTCCTTAACTAACATGTTGTACCTTCAACGGGATTGACAATCATTCAATGAGCTGTATCATCAGATCCTTACCTAGCCTTCCTTCCCACTACTGTAGGTCCTCAACTAACATGTTGTACCTTCAACGGGATTGACAATCATTCAACGAGCTGTGTTGTCAGATCCTTACCTAGCCTTCCTTCCCACTACTGTAGGTCCTCAACTAACATGTTGTACCTTCAACGGGATTGACAATCATTCAACGAGCTGTATTGTCAGATCCTTACCTAGCCTTCCTTCCCACTACTGTAGGTCCTCAACTAACATGTTGTACCTTCAACGGGATTGACAATCATTCAACGAGCTGTGTTGTCAGATCCTTACCCAGCCTTCCTTCCCACTACTGTAGGTCCTCAACTAACAGGTTGTACCTTCAACCAGATTTACAATCATTCAACGAGCTGTATCGTCAGATCATTACCTAGCCTTCTTTCCCACTACTGTAGGTCCTCAACTAACAGGTTGTACCTTCAACGGGATTAACAATCATTCAGCGATCTGTATCGTCAGTATAAGGAAACTTACGGTAATGAAGCTGTCAGTGAGTGTACGTTCAGAGAGGCTCTAAACGACATGAACATATCAGTTTTTCACCCTAAAAAGGACCAATGTGACATTTGTTGTGGACATGAAACAGAGAACTTGAATGAAACTTTGTATAACCATGGTTTAGATGTCTTCTTATAAGACACATTAAATATCTACTACGTTTTACTTTTGTAAGACATGTGTTAGATTATAGTCACTTCTATGAGTCACATGTTTAAGATATCAGTCACTTTTATAAGACAATGTTTCAGACACCTAAGGTACTTGTATAAGACATTTTCTAATGCAGTTTTCAGTTAGCAAACCTGCCAAATTTCCTGATTTAGTCGAAAGTTTCCCGATTTCAGTCTCCGTTTAGTCTCTGTTTCCCAGGGCCTGATTGTTCAAAATTCGGTAAATCGGTAGCCCACTAATTTTTGTGATTTTAAACCAATTAGCACACAGAACGACATTCACTTCCACAGAAAGTTTTGGTTGTAACACAAGCTGTCTGCCTTATTTAGATTTGTTTTCATCATAGTGCTTACGATGCAGTCATATATACTGAATGCCTTTTTGTTAATTTCATCTGTGAATACAACTTATCTTTTAAAACTGCTGACCACTTCATCATGCTGTGTAAACAGATGTTTCCTGATAGCAAGATTGCTCAGAAAATTCATTGTGGATGGACTGAGACAACACAATTTGTGTCACTGGCCCCTGCCTTGAAGGAGGATGTTATTGAACACTGTCAGATTAAGCCATGTTGCCATGAAAAGAAATGACACAGATAGAGAAAAGTATCTTGCTGTACTTGCTACTTTACAACAGAAGCAAACACTACATTGTTGGCAATACCTATCTGTAACATTGGCAACCTGTGTACTGTGGTCATCTTACCAACCTGTGTACTGTGGTCATCTTAACAACCTGTGTACTGTGGCTGCTGTGAAGAGTCTCCTACTGCCAGTGGAGGATTTACTCAGTGATGTGTTCTACCACTTTCATCACAGTGCCAAGCAGAATGAAGAATTTGTGGACTTCCTTGACATTGAGTCATCCAAGATCCTGAAACATTGTGCAACCAGATGGCTTAGTCTGCATCTGTTGTGGATTGCCTCCTTTCTCACTGGCCAGCTTTAATGTCTTACTTTCTCTCCCATGAAAATGTGGAAAAACCAGGACGAGTGAAGAGATGTGTTGACCTCCTCTCTAACCCAGAAATGCTGATGTATTACCATTTTCTTTGTTTCTGCCATTCCCGATAAAATTCAACACAATATTCCAAGCAGAAAAGACCTGTTTACCATACCTTGGACAGGAAATCAAACAGTTGTTGAGAAAACTTCTGGGAAAGTGCATCATATCCAAGATTATTCGAGAGAATGAAGACATTGCATAGATTCCTTTCAAGGACCTAGCTATGGAGGCTTCCTTCTTGGCTGTAGGTTTTTACACACGGGCATATCTTGGTGAACACGAGGATGTTGTTGAACCACCCCACAGTATCTAGGATTTTTGACAGTTTAAGAGGTTTTATATGGCTGCTGTGGACAAGATGGTGAAGAAATTTCCATTCCATGATCCTGTCATCATTGGACTGGAATTTTTGCTACCTAAGTAGAGAGAGACCGTATATCCAGCAGTGACTGAGATGGACCACAGATGTCATTTTCCCTGATCAGATGGATGCCCTCGAAGGGTGAATTACAACTCTGCAGCTATGAGGACCTGCCCAAATGGGAAGATGGAACGATCACCATTCTGGGGAGATATTGGAGGGATCAAAACTGTTGTTACCCAGAGTGCCAGATTTCCACTTTACACACTTGCAACAGCATTGTGTAGCCTGCTGAACAGTAATGCAGACTGTGAACTTGTATATTCACTCTTAAAAAAGATCCAACCTTACCATGGTTTATCATTGGACCAATCAACTCTTGTGTGCTTTACTAACTGTCGACTCAACACAGACTTCACTGTTTACACACCAAATCATGGGGTGATAAAGTCTGCAAAGTCAGTCTGTGTATCATACAACAAAGACATTTTATCTTTAACATCTCTGTCATCTTTATCCAGCTTCTCCTCAAGTTCCACCTACGGGATTGAGCTCAAACTTGCTTGAAATGATTCGGAGATGGTCCTGACTACTGTAAATTTGCGGGTATAATGCGCACTTAGGTATAGTGCGCAGGTACTTTTTTGGGGTCAGATTTAAAAAAAAAAGTTTTCTACAGAAAGATCAATTGATTACTGGTTACCGCGATGAAACAGTTGATGCGGTTTGATCCATTGATAATTAGGAAACCACAATCATCGTGACCCTAACATATTTAATTACCTTACGTAAACAAATTCACACAGGTACCTGACTTAACAAGCCTGAAAGGCTTGGCTAATTGGATAATTGACGGTTCTTAACAGAGAACAAACACATTGAGTATGAGGA